TCAGAGCGGTGGAAAGCGCTGACAGAGCAGACCCTTGGCGGCGGGGTCCGGCACAGGATCATGGGCCCCCGACACTTCCCCAGCGCAGAACAGAGCCCACGGCTCTCCGGTCGGGGTTCGTTTTCTCATGCACGGAAACACATCCAGCGGGTACTCTGATCTCAGGTGGGGGCCGAAAAGCAAGAGGGCTGCAGGGCTCAGGGGCAAGTCCAGTCCTGGGCCGTTATCCTCTTTCCTGGGCCAGGCCTCTTCGGAAGCTTTTCAAGGTCCAATGAGCTAATCAATTGGGCCCTGCACTCTGATCTCAGGTGGGGGCCGAAAAGCAAGAGGGCTGCAGGGCTCAGGGGCAAGTCCAGTCCTGGGCCGTTATCCTCTTTCCTGGGCCAGGCCTCTTCGGAAGCTTTTCAAGGTCCAATGAGCTAATCAATTGGGCCCTGCAGCGCCCGCTCGGTAACTTTCCCTCTAACCTTTTCCATCCATGTGCGGAATAATTTTTTACACACACCGAGGCATGTGCCAATGTGCACCACCAGTAGAACCACATGCTGCGGGCACGCTGCTAATCAGCTGGGTGGCATTGGAATCTATGCTGAGTGGCTGCCCAAGCGCCCAGCTGACAGGTGGTGCTACTAAGACATAATGGTGCGGTGAGTCCAAAGGAGAGAGCGGAGGCAGGATGAAACCAGCATTCCCTGTAGGCTGTGCTGAGAGATTCCAGATTAGCAGAGTGCCCACAGCTAGGTTATTTCTCTCTGTGGGTGGTGCACATGTACACATGCCTCCGTGCACAAAAAATTATTCCACACATGGATGGAAAAATTAAAGGGACCACTGAATGAGACGTATAGCGAAAAAGCCGAAAGCCTTACGTCTTGGTGTCTTTTGCCTCCTTCTGCATAATCTCCAGGATCATCTTGCAGGCGGCCGAGCAGCCCTCGGGGGTAGAATGGACGCTGATGGCTTTCTCCGCTGCCCCTGCATTCTCCTTCCTGTGCACGTCAATTCTGCACGGGCACAAAACACACACAAGTGAAACACCCCCCCAGGGCATCCTGCTCAGTCACCTTTCAACGGCTCGAGTCCCCGTGCGTGGGCAAAGCTAGTGCCCCAGGACTCCCCCAGGAACCGGCTGCCCTGCACCAAGAGCCTGGGGCAGAACCTCGACTCTGAAGTCTTGGACTCCAAGGTCCCCTCGGAAAAAGCCCCAATAGGGACCAATGGCTGGAGGCTAAAGCCGGGCAAATTCCGCCTTGAAGTGAGGCTCAGATTTGTAACCGGGTGAGGATGGCTGGCCACTGGCCAAGCACCGAGGACGAGACAGAGTCTCCATCCCTTGACATCTTCATCTCAAGCCCGGCCGTCTTCTCGGAAGACACCCAATCAACGGGCTGAGGCAGGCGTAGCCTGGTGCCGTGCTCTCGCCCCGCGACCGGAGAGCCGACTGGACAACCGAACGGTCCCTCCTCTGGCTTTAGAAATCAAGCATTGCAAGCGGGAGACCCCGGCTGTCTCCAAACACTGCGGGGGCCCGTTACCAAAGTACGTTCTAGGAGAGGAGATAGGAACGGGACGGTTCAGCCAGCACAGCCCACGCCTGCAGGGCGCAGTGTCAGGGAGAGCCGTGTGGTCCCCATCTCCATTTGCTAACGAGTGGATACGAGAACATCAGTGCGGCCACACGGGGTCAGACCAAAGGCCCATCCAGCCCAGTGTCCTATCGGCCGACAGTGGCCAAGGCCAGGTGCCCCGGAGGGAGGGAACAGAACAGGGAATCCTCACGTGATCCCTCCCTGGCTGTCCACTTCCAGACAAACAGAGTCTCGGGCACCATCCCTACCCATCCTGGCCAATAGCCGTGGATGGACCTAATCTCCATGAATCTATCTAGCTCTTTTTTGAAGCCTGTTAAATTCCTGGCCTTCACAACTCTGGCAAGGAGTTCCACAGGTTGACCATGCGCTGCGTGAAGGAAAACGTCCTTTTGTTTGTTTTAAACCTGCTGCCTGTTCATTTCATTGGGTGACTCCATGACAGACACACCCAGGGTAGGGATACTGGAGGACTGGCGGCTCCAGGGTAATTCTTATAATTTAATCACAACCCTTCTCCCGCAGGAAAAATCCAGCCCCTTGCACCCACATGGCCCATACGTTGAACTCCTCCCCCACGCCTACATGCCAAGCAGCCCCTCCCAGGCTAGGGGCTGGGGATGGACAGACATGGAGGCAGGCGGGAGAAGGCGGGACTTACTTGGACTGTGTCTGCTTGGTGATGTTGCGGATAGTAGCTCCCTCCTTGCCAATGATGGCCCCCACGTACTGGGTGGGCACCAGGAGGCGGAGCGGTATGTCCACCGGCTGCTGCTTTACGGGCGCCCCTGCAGCGACGGGCGAGCCCTGCCGGGGGGCCCCCCGGGTGCCGAAACCTCCCCGCCGCCCGTTCTCCGGCCCCTGCGTCGACTGCTCGTCAGGGATGTAGGAGACTTTCAGTGCATGGTTTTCCAGCTGGTGCCCGTTCAGTTTCATGATGGCTCTAGTGCGGAGAGAAAATGAGAATATCCCTGGTCATGTCTCTTACCTGGCTCTCCGGGCCATTTGTTCCCAGCTGCGGCAGGCGTGCTGTTCCGAGATCACTCTGTGCCAAAGGGGCTTGCTCAAACTCTGCTTTATTCCCCGGTGCAGTTCCAACCAGCTGTGCATTACGACACAAGCTTCATAGCACCCCGCCCAGACTTTCACCCTTTGGGGCACCAGACCCCCCACAGCCCAGAAGGCAACAGGATAGCCGGGCCAGGTCTTCACATGGATTTGCCAGGGGGGAAGCAGATCTTTAAGTGGCACATTCTGGCTGGAGGGCTTTATCCGTGCATCACACCCCGGCATCACACCCCACCCCCACCACTGACCAACGGTGGCCTAGTTTTTAAGACGGTTGCCGTTTCACAAGGCTACCAGTAGATGGCGCCACGTGCCCAATCAAGAGCCATAGACAGCCCCAGCCAGACAGCGCTGGTTCAAAGATCGGCGCACGCGGTCCCCTGAGCCCAAAAAGCCCTTCCATCCGCCCGTGCCCGAGAAACACGGGTTGACCAGATGTCCTGATATTGTCAGGGCCGTCCCAGCACTCGGGACTTTGTCTGATACAGGAAGCTCCGGAAAAAAATCAAGTCCCGATGGTTCCCGCTTGCTATCGGCTCCCCCAAGTGGAACGTCCCCTCTAAACGACCCTGTCCCAGAGGCGGAGGCTCCTTACTCAGGTTAAGCGCCAAACCGCGGGAGACTGACTGAGCTTAGGGGTCATCAGAAAGGAGATAAGGAAGCGACCCCATTACAGCCTGGAAGCACCTTTGTGGGGAGAAAGGCGTCCCGAGACCTAGCGAAGTCACAAAGCCGGGCAAAGTCAATTTAGAAATCAACACACGGACGTTTACCAGGGACAGCGACTAACCAGGGGGTACACTATCAAGGGAGGAGGACGATTTCTCCATCCGTTCATGTCCTCCGGGCACCACTGGAGGCCTTCATGGAAGATGGGCTTTTGCCAGGCACAAGTTAGTGGCCAGGGAGCCAACAGCCTCCGTGGGTCCCTGGGAAAGTGTGGGGAGGAAGGGGCCAGGCTCTGTGCTTCTGGAAGGGGCGGGGCATCAGGCAGAAAGGGGCGGGGCTGGGGGCAGCCAGTCCACCTTGCTGCCCAAAGCTCAGCGTGCCGCCCTCGTCCCCCGTCCTCAGAGCTGCACGGAGCACATGGCGTGGTGCTCCGGTGGTGATTTAAAGGGCTCGGGGTGCGGACTGTCAGCAGCTGGGAGCTCCGGACCCCTGTGAATCGCTGGGCCCCAGAGCCGACGGCCTCCTCCCCCCACCAACAGCTGAGTGGTTATTAGTTGCTCTTTATAGGGGTAACCAGGTCTGTCATTCTGCGCTAGACTGAAGGTCTGACTAGCTGAGCTAAAGCTTCCTTCTGGGCCTTAAATCTAGGACCATGGTGTCCAACCAGCTCAGACGCTGCAGCCACTAGAGCGGCTACCAGGCAGAGGAACACAGCGAGGCAGGAGTGTCTCTTCCGCTCTGCTCTGCGCTGATTAGGCCCCAGCTGGAGGATTGTGTCCAGTGCTGGGCACCGCATTTCAGGAAAGACGTGGAGAAATTGGAGAAGGTCCAGAGAAGAGCAAAAAAATGATTCAAGGTCGGGAGAACAAGAGCTATGTGGGGAGACAGAGAACTGAGCTTGTTTAGTTTAGAAAAGAGAGGACAGAGAGGGGACATAAGTATCTAAAAGGGTGTTACAAAGAGGAGGGAGAAAAATTATTCTCCTTGGCCTCTGAGGACCGGACAAGAAGCAATGGGCTTCAACTGCAGCAAGGGAGGTTTAGGTTGGACATTAGGAAAAGCTTTCTACCTGTCCGGGTGGTCAAACCCTGGAATAAATTGCCTAGGGAGGTTGTGGAATCTCCGTCACTGGAGATATTGAAGAGCAGGTTGGATAGACGCCTGCCAGGGATGATCCAGACAGTCCTTGGTCTTGCCTAACGTGAGGGCAGGGCACTGGATTCGATGACCTCTTGAGGTTCCTTCCAGCTGGGAGGTTCTATGATTCAGCCGGCCAAACAGCCACATGTGGCTAGTGTGTTGGACACCACGGATCTATGAAATCCTCCCGTTTCAGCTTTAAACAGTCTGGCTCAATCGGTCTCTTTTAAAGCTTTCGACGTCTACATGGAGTCTAGGCAAGAGGGAAATTCAATCTGGGCGGGGTCACATGACATCTAGGAGCCGTGCAGAATCGGAATCCTCCTCGTGCAAAACGAGCAAGGTGCGTTTGCAGACAAGGCTTTCGCTTCGTCAGGGACCGGGGTGGGCAACTGAAAACTCATTTCTCCCAGGGGGTTTCCCTCTTACCCGAGAGCCCCGGAAGGCTCAGAAACCAAGAGGCAAAGAAAACGAACTCAAAATATGATTGTTTTGATAGAGGCGGTGATTTTTAATCCACTCTCATGATTCTGTGTGCGGAGAAGGGAGGCTGACTCTTGCTTTTTGAGTTGGCCACGGAGGGGGCGGGACGGGGAACACTTTCTGCTTGGACAAAAGCAACTCCTCCTTTGCCACCCTTCGAGTGGCACGGGGCATCAGAGAAAGGTTAATTCACTTACTGTCTGGTCTGCTCCCGGTTTGAATAGGTGACGTTGACGACGGCCGTCTCGCTGTCTGTGTTCACTGCGAGCAAAGCACAGGGAGTTAGTGGGAGCGGTGCACGAGGGCGGGTTGGTCTCAGCAGTCGGTGCGAGAGCAGCTTTTGAAATAAAACAACTTGTATTTTAAAAGTAAGAAACGCTCCCTCCCCCCTGTTCTTCTCTCCGAGCCAGACTGCCAGGATTGAAGACGGAAGCGCAAGTGCAACTTGCCGTGATACACAGGGTGGGTGCTGGTTTCCTTCGCGGCGCTAAATCGTGTAAATAAGTGTAAGTCGGGTAGGCCCAGTTCTTCACCGAAGTCCCGTTAGCGTCAACGCCCGAGTCTCCGGGAGGCTCTGAGCCACGTGGCCAACCAGCGAACGCCTCTGACTGCTTAGTTCAAGCCGCAGTAGTCGGGATGTTACGATGCGGTTAGGAAGTTAATTGAGTGGTCGATGGAATTTCCATTGGCTACTCAATTAGTCGATAAGGCGGTTAACGCCTGGGGCAGTGGGGGTTGGGACTGAGCAGTCCTGACTTGTGCTAGCTCCAAGACCACTGGGCCTCTGCTTGCAGAAAGAGCTGCTGGGGTCTTGTACTCCATGGACAAGACGGAGCCGCAGCAGTCTGGGACCAGGCGCAAGCCGGGACATCTGGCACATGGCAAGGTTCAGAAAGGGACCGGGAGGAGGGAGGGGGGAGGCGTGTGTGTGTGCAGGAGCAAGAACAGGCACCAGCCAATTGCTGTCAGAGACCAGGGTGAGACTGATCCTCGGGGGCAAGTTGCCCACATCTGCCTTCTCCCCCCAAAAACATCTGGCACTGGCCACTTTCAGACAAGATACCCAACTAGCTGGACCTTGGTTCTGAGCCTGTCTGGTCCAACTTCTAACTGAACAGAGTCGCATGTGCGCGCGCGCACACACACGCACACACACACACACACACACACACACTCTTACCTTGTTCACAGTTTTCTACGGTACCATACTGAGCTAGCAAACTATCCAAAACCTAGGGAAGAAAAGGGGAAACGACATTACACGGGAGTTCAAATAACCGTAGCTGGACGATAACGGAAAATCTTCCATCAAACCCGATTTCTAGGACCCGGGCAGCATGGCTTTTGCGGTTCTGTAACGTGTGTGGAGAGGCAGGAGGGCCGACAGAATTACTGGGCCCCTGGGTAAGGGGGGAGGCGGGGGGGCTTCGCGCTCACAGAAGGGGCGGGACTTTGGGCAGAAGGGGCGGGGCTGCAGGCTAACCTCCCGCCAACCCTTCAGCACCATCCAGGGCCCTGGGAAGAATTGAAAGGGCCCGGCGCCCCAGGTCCTTTTGAATTGCCGGGCCCTGGAGCAGCTTCCCCCCACAACGGCGGGTCTGTGGAGAGGACCCAGCACTGGGAGTTGGAAAACTTGGATTTCTATTACCACTGGCTTGCAGGGTGACCCTGGCTGAGTCATTTCCCCTGTGTCTCCGTCCCCCCTCTTGTCTGTTTAGTAGGGACAGCGCCTAGCACCAGGGTATCCCAGCCTCAGTGAGGGCTTCCTAGTGCAGGGGAAGACAAAGAAGGGCTGGGGGGGCGTCCACTCGCTCACCCAGCTCATAGTACAAGAGCCACCATGGCCAACCGTGGCCAGTGATTTTGGGTGCCTCCATCTCTTGCTGCCCAACCTGAGACACCTTCCATTAGGAACGGCGGCCTGGAAGGTAAGTGGGTTGGCAGTCACCCCGCC